GACAAAATGTGGATACAGCGTTTAATATTATCACCGGACAAATAAGTCCTCCTGGTCGAGATTTTATTGTAAATATTTTTTTTAATATTATTATATATTTATATTTTAAAAATATTTTTTAAATTATTAGAATAAATAAAAATAAAATAAAAATTAGAATAAGATATATATTTATCTAAAAAAATTAAAATTATTTGAAATAAAAAAAATTGAAATTATTTGAAATAAAAAAATATAAATGCAAATTTAGGAAACTATAATTCAATTATAAAAATTTATTATTTAGGTATCGTTGGATAAAAAAATCGAAACTGAAATAGAAGTAAGAAATATATCTATCGATGATGACAGATCCAAAGATTGGAACAGTGATGAAGAATTAAAATTTAAAGATCGAAATCGTACAATATCCAGAAACTCAGAATATGTTGAATACTTTGAAAAAAATCAAAATGAGAACGAAGTTAATATTTCTGATGAAATAGAAAAAATAGACGAAATTGTTTCTGTTTTGGCAAACAAGAATTTACAATCAGACTCTGAAAATGAAGAAACGTTGATTTCAAAAAAGTCCGCCAGTTCACAAAAATCAAATCGATCACCAAGTAGAAATTCTATTAACTTCGAGACGTCGAAATCATCAAGATGTGATTCTCGAAATAGTCCACATAAATTGGTTAGTTAAAAAACATGAAAATAAAAATTATAATAATATTATATAAAATCGAAAATGATACATTTATTTAAATATTAGTTCAATGATGAATAGAATTTTAAGAGTGTATTTTTTTGTTTATATTATATTTTTTTTACAGAATTTTGAATCCGAAGACAACGATTCAATAGATTTAAATAAAAACAAAGCTATTTCCTCTACGATACAGCGTGATATTATTCAATCAGAAGAATTAAATCAATCGCGAAGAGAATCGAAATCAGAAGAATCACCAGCCATCATTATTGCCTCTAGACCTCACTCATCTACCGAAATTTCTAATTATATTGAAAACCGTCTAGAAACTAGTACTCAAATAGAAGTAAATGATAATCTCAGGGTAATATATTTATTATAATAAATATTTAAATAAAATTGTTTTATATTTCATTTAAGATTTTTCGTATTTTTATTGTTTTTTTTAATAGTTTTTTAATGAATCCAATGAGAACAATCATTTGGAAGATGGACAAAATAAAGATAGTTCCAGTGAGACGAACACTGATCCAGGAATTTTAAAAATTGAAGTAATATTTTCATTTTAACTTTTGCTAACCTTCTATTAAATATTTTCATATAATTCTTTAATATAAAAAAATCTCTTTTAAAATTTATTTAAATATTTTAAATATATTAAATTTATTAAATAATTTTTATATCTAGACTCAATCTGTAGAACCAGAATCCACAACCAAACGAAAGCCTTCAAGAGTTCCTCGCATTTCAGTACGCTCGCGAGGCCGAAGCAAAGGAAATTTGGAAAAAATAAAACCAATAGTACAACAATGTTTTGTTCAACTTGAGAATAAAGACTGGTAAATCATTGAAATAATTAAAAAAAAAAAAATAGTTAGAAAAAATAAATTGGCATTTATTATTTTATTTAACAATATATATTCAGTTTTTATTATTTAATAGAATTTAATGATAAATTATAAATGATAAATAGATACTGATAATGATAATTAATTGCAAAGAAATTGTTAATTTCTTATTTTTCATACAGGGAAATTATTATGAAAGCATTGAAAACATTATCCCAGATTGCAAAGCAACAACCTGAATATCTAGACATATGTGCCGCATCAACGATAAATCGACTTGTAGCTCGTCAAATAAAAAGTCTTCGCTCTCAAGTGGCGCGAACGGCATGTTTAGCCGCTGGGGATATTTTTAGTTCGCAGATTCGTGGCATAGATCAGGTATAAATTATTTTATTTTGTGTTCATTAAATGCTTTATATGATATGAATTTTTATTTTTAATAGGAATTCGATGATATAGCTGGATCATTGTTACATAGAACAGCGGATACTAATCGATTTCTTCGATCGGATAGTAATGCAGCATTGGATCGAATGATAGAACATCTTCCGCCTCATAAAACAATCACGGTTATTGTACAATGTGGTGCAAGGTGAATTATATATTATTTATGAATTATTTATTATTTATTTATATATTATTTATGAATATAAAAAATTCATGGGATTAATGATGAAATGAAAAATTAGATGAAAAAATTATTTATATTTTTATTTAGCCATCAAAATGCTATTGTAAGAGCTGCTACAGCTAGATTGTTGGCTTCAATAGTCGATCGGATAGGACCGGAACATACTTTAATTTTACCGAAGGATGTAAGGGATAAATTGCTTTCTACAGGTGCAAGATTATTAATTGATGGAAATTTGGATGCTAGGTAAAAATATCAATTTTTTTTTTTAATTAAAAATATAAATTATTCCATAATTATATTTTACAAAATGATTTATATTTTTATTTATCATAATTTTTCAGAAATCATGCAAAAAAAATGTTTCGAAGGCTTACACATTGCGAAGGATTTCGAAAAGCTCTTACAGACGCTGTACCGGAGACAACTTTGAGACACATTGACAAAACCTTAAAAGCCCTTTAGTCAAATAATTGATCGTGTAATCTTGCATGTCGCTTCGCCATCTGGATCTTGTTTAATCAACGAAACTGCTTCTTGTGAAAAATGAAATTGAAGCTGTTTATGAGTTTCAATGGCGTATTCGATACGATCTTCGTGCACGGGGAAAAATTAAAGAATTTTATTTAGATTATGAAAGACAATTTTTTTCACATTATTACTATTTTTTCCTCTACGCACGAACATATGTTTTCTTCCTTGACGTATAAACTAAATGGAAGAAAGATGAAAGCATGATTGCTCTGTTAAACGACTGATTTGAATGTTTCAAACTTTTTGATACTCTGATGTATGTCTGTATATTTCTTTTTTATACCGCTGTATAAGCAGCATACATATTTAGAAACCAAAAAGAAATTTATTTACATAATGTGAATTTTTAATATTTTATTTTCTGTAGTAAATGTCATTTTATTATAATGTTTTGCATCTGAATTTTTTATAAAATTTAAAATATAATTTTCAAAATATCAGAGTAAAACTTGATACAGGAATTTTTAATATAATTTTTTAAATTTAAAAAAATTTGTTGTTTGTTAATAAACAAATAGTTAATTAAAATTTAAATATATGAAATTCACATTATGTAAATAATTTATGCTCAATAATAAAATGTAAACTTTATTCTAAGAAAAAAAAGAAGAAATATAATAAAATAATTTTTACGTCACACTTTTAAATATAAAAGATAAAAAAGTTTAAAGTTACAATTCTATTCTGGATACTTTATTTATCAATTAATGTCATTGTTACTTTCAGAAATTGCTTTCAATAATTCTTATTCGAAATGTTATGTCTTGAGAAATCAGAAACATTTAATTATAAAAAATTTATACGGAGTTATATTAATGAAATTTATGAAATTATATACAGATTAATATAATGCAATAATGATGTATGAAAGTCGGAATACTCAATTTATTAATTAAATGAATTATAATTTATAGTAATAATTTTCTTGTATAAATAATATTTATATAAAGTTTTAAAATTAAAAATTTTATTGATTCAATTAAAAATACAGAAATTATGGTATTTCCAATGTTTTAAATTTGCAATTGTTCAGTAGACATTAGATATAAATTTTAATAACATAAAATTAATTAGATGAATTACGGAGTGAAAAAAATTTATTTAAAAACTTCAAATATTTGCACGTTTCTTTATTCAAACAAATATCTGTCTTTATGCCGCAATTATTAATAAAATAAAATATGATATGCGTGAAATATTTTACTAAAAATAAATTATAAATAATATAAATTTAATTAATAATTCGCAGAATTTCGATAAAATTTTATTTTTTTTTTTTTTTTACTTCACCAACTCTTCTACAAGAAGTTGCAGGAAGAAATTATGATTAAATTATGATTAAAGAAAGGTATACATTGCTTATGGCAATGATTCCATTTCAAAAAATAAAATTTTTTATAATTTATTCAAAAAATAATATTACAAATATTAACATTAAATAATTGGAACATATCACAATTTATATTATAACATATATATTATAATATAATAATAAAAGTTATTAATTAACGATAAAAATCTATATTCATTTTAAAATATTTTATAAATTTGTTATTTAATAATTTCTTTAAATATGATCAATATCAAATTATCAATAAAATCAAAATATTATTACTAGTTATTTAATATGAAAAATATTTTTGAATTTTATAAATTAATATATTTTATATTTATTTATATAGTCATAGAAAATTATTTGGAATTATTATTATAATTTATAAAAAGCGCTACAAATTTGTAAATATATAAGTAATTATGTACAATATGAAAAAACAAAGAATTTTATGTGAAAGACAAAAGAAAAAAAAATTGAATCCTATAATTAATTAATAAAAAGTATAATTCATTTAATTATTATGCAATAAATTATTTTTACGATATTTTTATTTATATATCGTGAATTTTTAATTATACCTATATATATTTATTCGTTGTAAAAAAAAGACATAATATTAAATATTAATTAATTAATATTGCATAAGTCAAAAAATAAAATTAATAAAATATTATTTCAATATTGAAATTTATAACATTTAAATATTTCATATTTTAAAATAATCGTCATCGAAAAATTTATAACAAATCAGTTTCGCATCGACCGCTGTATTGTTTAGACGCATTGAAGTTCCGCGCGCTCGATTTTATAATATAATTTAAAATTATGTACGAATTTTGTATTTAAAATATACATGTTTTATTTACAAATATGATAATTTAACGCTTTTTTTATTCGAGAATATCGTATTATATAATCTATTTTTTGAAATTAATCTTTTATTAAATATTCGTTCTTTGGCATTTCTTTTTATGAAACAATTGAAGCATTGAATTGAAGTAATTTTGATGTTATTAAATGTTCCAGAAAAAAGTTATTCCTAAAATGGAAGAATGGATACAATGGCAAAATATAAAAAATGAAAAAAATATCGAAATAATTATACATGCCATTGAAAATATTGTAAGTTTTAACAACGTATAAAATTTTTTTTTTAATATAACGGATAATCTTTTCTTTAAATCAAAAATATATATACATATTTAAGTGACTATAAATATTTAATTAATATAAAATTTGAATTTTTAATTATATTTATTATTGTGTATGAAAACAAATATAATTTTATATAAATTTTTGTCATATTTTTATATGTATAAAATATGATATATTTATTAAAGTAAATAATATTTATACAAAGAAAAAAGATTTTTAATAATTCAATTCGTGTATATAACAATGTATGTAACAATACATTATTTAAAAATTTAGTTCAGAAAAGAGGATATAAATATACTATTCATAGTGGAACATAATGGTATTGTTTTGGGAGAGAGTGATCCAATATTAATCAAATCAAGTTTTGATGAATTATCCATTTCTACAATCAATTTTAATGTTAATTTACCAATTATTCCCAATGATAAAGAAAATATTAATTCAATTGTATCAATTCCTATACTAAGTAAAAATTAATTTATATTAATTCATTTTATATATCTTATAATTATATGATAAAACTGCTTGCAATATTAATACATGAATTTCTAATATTTATGTAGTTAAAGCTGTAGAAATAATAGAAAATGATGAGGAATCTATACAATCTATTTCAGAAGAATTTAAGAAAAATGAAAATAAAAAAAAATCGATATTCAGTACAAAATCTGGATTATTTCCTACATCAAAATTATTTGGAATATGTAATTTTGATATAATTCCAATTATATTAGGTAATTAAAATAATTTTATTTTATTATTATTATTATTATTATTATTATTATTATTATTATTATTATTATATTTATAATTTTTTAAAACCAATAAATTGATATTTATACATATGTGAATTATACGAATTAAATTTTCCTTTTTCTGTTTTAATAATTTTTACATTTTCATTTTTTTATATTTAACAACTTTAAAAATTTCAAAATTTTCAAATTTAAAAGTTTCAGAACTTATAAGTATTTATATTACTTATAAGAATTTCGTATCTTCAAAATTTCAATGTTCAAAATTTTCAAATTCTTAATTTCAATTTTAAATTTTATTTTAAATTGCAAAATTTTAGTGATAAAAGCTTTGAAAAATTCGAAAAAATTTCAATTCTAATACATAATTTCAAATTTTTTAGGTGAAAAACTGTTCTCTGAAAAATTAATTCTAGAAACACCTAATTTTTTCTTTGATGGTAATTTAGTATCATGGCAGAATCTTCCACGTTTAACAGTAACAGCTTCACAGAATCATCTTCCAGTTAATATTTCAACATTAATCACTGATGCAAACAATGCATTTAATTTATTCTATATCACAGTCGAGAGTATATACAACATTCCAGAAACTTTTACGGATAATTTCAAATATAAAGCTGGCACGATAACGTATACCGATAGCGAGGTATATTTTTATAGTAAAATTTTTTATTAGTATTTCTACTATATTTTTTATTATTTTATGATTTTCACATTTCATTCCAGATTCCAAAAATTTTAATTTTCGATCAAGGTACGTGGACAAAACACCGCGATATCGAGAGAACAAAACGATGGAATACTTTGCGTTACATAGAAAACCGTGCTCAATTATCGAAATACAAACTAGATTGTGATTTTACGGGAATTAGAAATGAATTCAAAAAACAATTCGATTTAGCGGTATAAAAATGAAATAAAATGTTAATATCTATTAATAGATGCATCTTTTATTGATAATTGTTATTATTAATTTTTAGAAAAAGATATCCCAAGATATACCGCGAATAGAATGGAATTCTTTGATTCGTTATGTCATGTGGGATAAAGGACTTCAAACAATACAAGATCATATTATAAAGTATGAATCTGAATATTTTTTATAATTTAGTCAATATTATAATGACAAATAATAATAGATTCAGTAATAGATAACAGAGAAATAATAATAATTAATAAATATTTTTTACATAATAATAATTATTTGATCATATTTATATTTATTTTTATATTATATATATTATATTAATACTTATATTTTTTTTATTTAAAATAATTTTTATTATTATCATATATGTGGGAAAAATTTATTAGAAATGACTGGTTTTACAGACACAAATTATGGCCTTTTCAATTTGAAATAACGACAGCAGCTTCGCCAATGAAATTTAAAAACGATTTATCAGCTAGGAAACAGTTGTATCAGTGCTACATCGATATTTCGGAACTTCTTTTTCCAGGAAGTAAATTTTATCATATTCCAATATAAGAGTATATGTATATCTATGAAATTTTAAACATGTTAAAAATTATATTTTATGTAGGAACAAGTTGTCGAGCCGTAGGCCAATTATATACGTATAATCCAGCAGACTTATCGGAAAAATTAGGAGTCGATCAAAATATCTTTGTTCTCGAATTATCACGTAAAGACTTAAAAGAAAAAGACAAAAAAAATAAAGTCGAAAAATCGAAGGTAAAAAAAATATAAAATATAAAATTGTTATAAATCACAAATTAAATTATGGATTTATTTTTTTTTTTAATTAAAATAAAAAATAATAATAATAATGAAATATTTTACTGAAAAATATACATAATGTTAGAATAACTCGCAATCGAATCAATCAGAAATCGAAGTAATAAGAAGTCAAAGTGAACCAATATTTAATGAAAATGGGGAACCTACAATTGTAGTAGTTAACATCGAATTCTACGAACCTTTAGTTGCTTGTAGAATAGAAGAGGATTTCACATATTTGTAAGTCCAAAAATCCTATTTTATTATATTAATATAATTTCAATTTTATTTCGTGAAAATTTTCACAAATAAAATATTTTTCCATTCAAAAGAAAAAATTATTAATTATAATTGATAAAATTATTATCTTTATTTAATTTTTAATTTACTTTTAATGTAGGATAAATGAAGTAATATCTAAAATGGAAAAAAAACCGCCTTATGTATACTCTAGTAAAATAGCAGAAGAACAATATAAACATTGTATTCAAAAACTGGCGGAAGTTCTTACAGAATCTTATCGAGTACGAAAATGTTCAATATTATATAATGATATAATGATAAAAATTTTTTAAATTATTTTTTATTAATTATTAATTATTAATTATTAAAATTTTTATTTTATTTATTTTATTTCTTTTCTATCAAAAATTTATAAATATAAAATTTAAAAAATATAAATTATAAAAATATAAAATACAATTTTTACAATTTTTTATATTTTCTTAAGCTAGGATTTTTGTGAAGAAAATAAAGAAAAAACTAGTACGGGTCAAAGGCCACAAGAAACATATTGCTTCGATCCAAAACTAGTAATGTATTATTAAAAAGTATTTTGAAATGCTAATTTATTAATTAATGCAAGTCTTAGTTTTAAAATTAGTTTAAACATGAAAAAAGATAATAATATTTAAAATATTAAGAAAATTGCTAAATAATTCTTTGTAACAAAAATATTATTATATATTTAAATTTCTTTAAACTTCAGGATGAAATAACATGTTTCAAACAATATCTTTATAAAACTGGAGTATACTTAAATATTCGCAATACGTTAAGAATGAAAATTCCTATTTTGATAGATCAAAAATTCAAATTGCCTGCAAATTTTGTGGGTTCTAAGGAATCTCATGTATGTATATTTTTTATACTTTTATACTTTTTTTTCTCAATATAACAAAAAATAATTAATTATTATATTTATAAGTTTTCTTTATAAAAAATTAAAAATTGTAATTTTTTTCAAAATGATTAAACCATAATATAATATTTACTAAAAAAATATATATATATTGTTTCATTTTTAAAATTAAATATTAAAATTAAAATTATATAATATTAAATTTTCTTATATTAATTTTCTTATTTATATTATATTTTTATAGAATATTATCACTTCTATGTATGTATATTTAGTAGAACAAATGCACCTTGCTCTAAATCAAATAATTGAATGCCGACTTATAAAAAATAATGAAAATGATTTAAATAAAAAAGAAAAATATATAAATTTAGAAATGACATATTTTTATGCTGAAGAAACTTATGAACTTGGAAATCTGGATGAAGCTAAACAAAATTATTTAAAAGTAAATTATAAAGATCGTTATTTAATTAATTAATCATTATAATTAATAATTATATAACATGCATATGAATATGAATCTCTCTCAAATTATATTCTCTTAATATAATATATATATATATATATATATATATAATATAATGGAAATTTTTTATAAAATATTAAAATATTAAAAATTAACAAAATTAAAATAAAAATTTTTTAAATTTTATAATTTTATATCAAAAAAATATAATGAAAAAAAATCATATGCGAAATTTTTCTCGGATTTTTAAAATAGGTTTTAAATCACATATCATACATCATTCATATGTTTAGCAAAGTCATCATTTTAAAGATATATTATATCCGACAAAATAACATATTTTTTAATTTTATTCAAAATATAAAACTATTATAATTTTTGAAAAGATTTTTCAAGAGATATGATAAAAATTCAAATAATAATCCTATAATCCTTATCTGAAGTTACATATACAGTATATAGTTTTTAAATTTAACTAATTTCTTTAATAATTAAAACGATAATTATTGCAATATACTAATTTAATTAATATTTCATAAATATAATAATCTTATTATTTTCTCAGCTGATAGAATCGAATAAAAATGATCCATATGTTTGGGCATTATATGCAATTTTTCTTAAGAAAATAGGTGATATAGAAAGTGCAAAGCAATGTTGTTTAGAAGCAATTATGTTAGATCGACAACACCCAATTGCGTATGTAAAGTAACATTATCTAATATCACTCATTATAACTTTTATAATTTTTCTATAATATTTCTGATAGAATTTATAAAAATAAATTAAAATAATATATAATATAATTATATATTATTAGAATAATTATACAATATATATTTATATATTATTATATTATTAGAATAATTATTCAATATATATTATATTGTAAACTATTATGATTTTAGATTGTTAATATACGCAATGATCTTTTTTGAGAATAAAGAATACAAAAAGGCTGAGATTTTTTTTAGAGCTATTGTCTATTTACATCCACGCTTTTTTGAAGGCTGGGCAATTTTACATCTTTTCTTTATACGAACCGAATACTATCCAGGTATAAAAATTTTTAATAATACAATTACTACGAACTTATAAAATAAATAAATTTAATTATATAAGATATTGTTTTATATATATAAAGAAAATTAACGATAGAAATTTTGATAAAATATATGTATAATAAATTAAAATATAGAAAAAATAATATGTAAAATAATATATAATACATAAGATATTAATAGGAAAAAATACAAATGAATCAAAAAATGCAAATAAATGAAAATAATGCAAATTATATTTCATATTTTAGGAGTGGATCTCACGCTTCGTATAGCAGAGAAATGTATGCAAGATAAAACTCGCATTACAACGCTTGATCAAAAACCGCTTTTATGGTCCACGGATTATTGTCCAAAGAATAATTTGTATATAAATGTTGTAATATTTTTATTGAAACTGAACTTTTGTGAGGTAAAATATCTTTATTGTTTTGTTTTTAAAATTAAAAATAAAGAAAAAATTATAATAAAAAATAAATATATTTTTAAAAATATTACAATATAATAATATTCAGTTTGCAGAAATAGCATTAGCAGAGGAAATGTCAATTTCCAATCGATCAATTCATGTCTTGTACTATATGGCAGTGGAACATTATTTATCTAATAGATATGAAGATGCATTATCTCATTTAAAGGAAATTCGATGCAATTATGGAATGGTTTATAATTCAAATTTTACTAATAATTTATTAAATATAAAAATCAAAAATACAATGAGTAGATACAGGATATCTTATAACTAGCAATAGAATTATAAACAAAGTAATTTTCAAGGAAAAAATAATCAAAAAATTAATAAAAGAAATAATTATTTTAAATAATTTAAAATATTAAGTTTAAATAATTATAAATTGCTAACAAATTTTTTAATATCTTTTAATTAATTTATTCAGGATTATTCGGTTAGTAGTCTAATGGGCCACTGTTACTTCAAAATAGGAAATATCGAAAAAGCAATAGAATTCTATCAACATGCGCATATGCTTTTCGATAGGCCTAAAGATTTGCATTTAGTAGAAATTAGGTAATTAATAATTGTATAAAAAATATCAAACAATAGTTTTTAATTAATTTGTTCAAAATCTTTATAGAATATAATGTGAGTATATATATGAAATATATGAATACTTCTAACATTCTATTTTCTATATTATGAATAAATAATTTGATATTTTAAATAAATATCAAAATTATAAAATAAAATGAAATAATAAAATTGATGTATTTTCATTCATTAATTATAGATTGGGATATCATTATCACAATCACGGTGACTTTGACCGAGCAAAAAGAATTTTTTTGAGTGTATGCAAATCCTCACCCTCTTGTATAACCTGGCTAGGGGTTGGTAAAAGTTGTTATGAGGTATATTTATACATATAATATTATATATTATATTATATATATATATATATATATTCTTAAATTATTTTATTATTATATATACTAATATAATTTGAAATCTCGTTTAGTAATTAGCATTGTTGACATATGTCTTCAATTTTTAAATCCTCTTTTTTTTTACACATATATTTTGTTTCAGTTAGGTCAATTTCACGAAGCAGAAATATCCTTATCAGAAGCAAACAGAATTAATAATCAGAATCCAGAAGTATGGGGTTATTTATGTCTTTTGAACATGACTCTTCGAAGATATGACGAATTTATACAATGTTATGCAGAAATGACCAAAGTAAATTCATGTAGTTATATAGTATAGTTTCTTATATATATTATTAAAACATAATTTTATCTTTATTTTATTAATTTTTTATTTTATTATTTTTATTAATTTTATTATACAGAGTAGGAAATTTTTTAGTTATTTACAATGAAATTAATCTTTAAGAATTTTTATGACATTCTATTTCTAGTATGATATTTTAGTATTTTTTAATAAAATTATATTTTGATATCTTGAAATCATATTTTGATACTACTATTTGATAAAGAATATTAATCTTAAATATTAATCTATAAACCAATTAATAAAAATAAGATTAAAAATGTTCTGAATTTTAATGTTGTTAATATATATAATTTGTTCAAAAATAAACTAAACAATATTTTTTATTATAATATAATTTTCATATTTTTTTTATTCAAATAAAATCTATACAATTATTTTATTCCAGTTTGTTTAGATTAAAAATAGAAGTCTTAATGAAATATTAAATAATATTAATATAAAATAATTATTTCAAAAATTTATTATGAAAAAAATATTATAATTTGAACACATTTTTATTTTTGTAAGTTTTTTTATATAATAAAGGAAAAAATAAACAACAATATTTTACTAACAATTTTTATTGTTTATTTAATTTTTTTTTTTTTTTTTTTAAGTATCAGAATAATCTTATAGATAGAAAACTATTGTTGAGAATAACCAACATGATGAAGGCTTTGGATTACGCACTACCAAATTTAATAGAAACCAACGATCTTGTCCGAGGATCATAATACAGAGGGATCTGAGGAACAATTTTAAAATTAATGGCATCATAACGAATTAGAAAAAAAAAGAAAGTTTGAATTAATAAAGAAAAAATCATAATGGCACTCATTTTTAATTATTGAAAATAATATAATAAAGAAAATAAATACAATTAATAAAAAATTATATCAATAACATTATTCATTAATCAATTTTAATATTATTACATTTTATCATTATATTTTTCATAATATATATTTTAAAAAATGTTAATTTTTATTAATTGAAAATTTATATATTTTAATTAATTAATTAATTTGAAAACTATTAATCATAAATAAACATATAAATATTCAAATTTTCTTATGATGATAATAGATATTTATATTTTATAAATCATCTCCCTCTTTGAATTGTTAAAAATTTAATTTTTTTTCAACATTTAATGATATCCTTTTCAGCTAATCATCTCATTTTAATATCTCATTTTAAATGAAAGATAAAACATAAAGCAAGCATATAACAAAATCGTATAATAATAAAAAAAACGTGCAATAAATAATCTTTTAGTAAAAAGAAGCAAATAAATTATATAAACTATAAAGTAACGTAACATTGTTTTTAGACTAAAGATAAATAAATATAGCCTATAGTTATAATATTTAGAATATTATAAATGATTGCTTTTTCTGTTTTTTCTTTCCTAAATCAACAGTTCCAATAATATTGAAGTATACAACATTTTTTATGTATACATATATCAATCTTCAATATACAATTAATTCCTATAGCCAATTACAAAAATATCATTCGAGATCGCAATATCTAAACAGATGTTAGTATTCTATTGTCGTAAAATTTTATATAAAGTATCAAGAAATACGAATCTTGGCCTTGTCAATTTCTATGTATTATAAAAGCATAGTAAATAGATTAATTTATAGTGTACTAATCCTTTGCAGTTTTATTTCTTTAAAAAATAAAAAAACAAAAACGAATATTTTATATAAAATATTTACATTGTTTTTTCATTTGTAACAATGTAATATTAGAAAAAAAAAAAGATAAAAAATCCTTCTGTAAATGAAAATAGAAGATAATCATATAAATAGTAATACATTATCTCCAATGTATTTAAAAAAAAAATTTTCATTTAAAGAAAATATTAATACAAAAAATGATTAAATGTAAACTCACAAAGGATTAAATAACATTAACGATTGTGCGCAAATAGTATCACTTAATAATAATAATAATTTTTTCATTATTTTAAAATTGTCTTGTAAATATTTTGCTGAAAATATTTATAATCTTCAAAATAAATGTTTTAACTTTTCATGAATATTAAATGATAAATTAATTAATTAAAATGTATTGCTATTATTGTGAAATATTTTAAAATCAAATCAAAAATTAACAATTTAATTTTTAATTATTAAAAAAAATTTCGCAATTATTAGCATTTTCAAAATTTTTAAAATTCATTCCTAATGATACGTTAAAACAATATTTTTTATCATAATGAATATTAGAAATGTTTCTAATATCAAAAAGTATAGGCGTAATTCATTACACATTTTATTAAGACTTGATATTGTTTTTATTGCAATATTTTATCATTTATTTCGTTTACTTTTTCTTTGTTTTCTTTTATTTCCTCAATTTTATCTTTACTTTCTTGTACTGAATTTCCATCCACATTTCCATCTGCAGGACTAAAAATATTTTCAGATTTTATTTCGCAAAAATTCATAATATCCTTTAAATTGGTATCAGATACGTTATTTTTCTTTGCTGTATTTTCTAAATTTAATATTTCTTTCTGTATTAATTGTTCTTTTTCTATTAATTTATTATTGCATACAGATTGATTATTAATTTCTATCACAGAATGTATTTTATCTTCCAATGAAGATATAGAATTATCTGTTATCTTCTCTATACTTTGTTGCACTGTAACTTTATCTTCGATATTATCACAGTCGTTTACAAACTGTTTCGTAATTTGTTTTGATTTTTGTTGATCATCTTTATACAAAAGATTTTTATCTATCTCAATAACATCGTTAAATATTTCATTATTTTCTAATATTAATTTCTCATGAATATTAATTGGAACCGATATTTCGGAAGACATATTTTCTCGTAAATCTTTTGTTACATTATTTGTAAGAGAATCTAAACATTCATTGTTATTTTCAAAGCTATTTTTATCGATATCATCTTTGGTAATGTGTTCAAAATTATCTGTATTTAATATAGAAGATAAAGAAATTTCTTCAATTTTTATTTCTTTTATCGATGATATTTTATTTGTTATCTTATTTTCAATATTTGATTGCACATTTTCTATATTTGATACTTTAATAGATTGAATGTTACAACAATTTTCTGTTGCATTATGTTCAATATTCTGTTCATCATTAATTTTTTTTTCACTATTATATTCAATATTCTGTTCATCATTATGTTTGATATTTAGTTCAACATTATGTTCTATATTCATTTCAGCATTTTGTTCCAATTTTATTTTACTAGGAGTTGAACATTCTTGAGTTTTGTGTGTTTGTGAAACATTCATATTTGAAGAATTATCTTCTATTATTTTTATATTTTCCTTTAAAGATTTTGGTGATTTAATAGCATGAGATTTATATTGATCTTTTTGTGTATAAGATTTAAATTCATTTTCGTAATGCTTATATGAATCACTATCTTCCTTTTTTATATCTTTCTTTGAATGATATTGATATTTTGTCTCATTTTCTTTTTTTTTTTGTGAATGAGATCTTTTTAAATTAGGGAACTTCTGATTATTAAAATAAGTTCCTTTGGATTTATCTTCAAATGATTTTTGACGGAAAAACGATTCACCTTCTGACGAAGGTGTATCGACATCTGAATGACTATATGTTAAACGAGTTCTTTGCCGTGGTCCAACTCTTCCAGTTCCAGCTATACTTGGTGAATTCACTAAAATTTACATATTTTAAGAAATTTACATGTATCAAAATTAAATAAAAATCAATATATATGTGTATACATATATTATATAACATGCGCGCGCGCCAAATATAAATTGTTTAAACATTGTATTCTAATATTTTTTCATGCAGAATATTTTAAAAAATTGATTCAAATAAAAAATAATACATTTACATTTTACAAATGCATTATTGTATTTGTAAAAAAAATAAAAAAATAAACATATTATTCAACCTTTTTCTTTTTTTCTATTTCTTATTAAATTATATAATCTCAGATTCATGCAATTTTAATATAAATATAATATATATATTACCTTTAACACTCATTACAGGTCCTTTTGTTATATTGCTTTGATTTACTGTGACCTTAATACTTTTATCAGTTGCAATGACAGTTCTTTCTTCAGAAGTTGGAGAAACAGGAGTTTTTGTAGATATTGCTGTATTATTTCTATGTTGGTCATAAGTATTATAAGATCGATTTTCATAATTATTATAAAAATTCTTTGTTCCACGATGAGGACGATGATTTCCACGAATATAATTGACATGTTCATTATCTAAAAAAAAATAACTTCTAATATTTTTATGTAACATGAAATTTAATAGTAACAGATGAACATACTATTAACATGATATCTCTTATCAGAATCTTTATCCTTTTTTGTAAAATCTCCTAATGTAGGCCTTGATGATTTTTTTACTGCATCATATATAATATGTACCTACAATGTAAAATATTTTTAATTTATATTATATTATTACAAAATTTGTATTAAATTAATACAAATTAATAACAATTATTTTTTAAATATTAATTTAATAATAATGATATATTATTGATATCTATAAAGTTTTTTATTTAAATTTGAAATAAAATTTTTATAATCAATAATTCAATATATTATGAAAATTTGTTTATACTTTATCATTATCCCATTCTCTACGCCAATTGCCTTCTGCAGTTCTTTGTCTACTAATACGATCTTCATCAATACGATTTCTTTCTGCTCTCCAAGCATCATATGCTGGTTGAGATTCATCTCTGTAATTTCCTTTATTTGATTTAATATCCTATATATAAAAATAAAATTCTTTATATTTCATAAAATCAAATAAACTTATAAAAACAACATTATTACATACTTTCTGATTACCCTCTCTGCTATTAATCTTTTTTCTGAAACTTCCTTTTGTTATTTTATGATGACATCTATTCCCATTATTTTCTTTTATATATTCTACACTAGGTTCTTCTCGTTCAGAATCTGCTAAAAAATTGTATTTAGGATCCGGTGGTGGTCCCTCTCCCTAAATAATATTTGTTTTATCTTAAAATTCAATTATTAAACATGCATATAATAGAAAATAAATTTAATATGAATTCTATTACATACTTGAGCAAAAGAATGAATTTTTTTTCCTTCCCCAGCATGGGAATGTGATATATATTCATGTTTTTCTTTGGTTAATTTTGGTTTAATTTTAGGAGGATTTACAAATTCTGGTGGTTCTTTTCTCTCTGGCCAATCTGTTGATGGTACCATTTGTACCAAAGCATTTAATTTTGCTGCATTTTTTTTATCTTCTTCAACTTCCTAATATAATAAAAATAATTTTATTATAAAACAAATTTTATCAACAATATAAAATATTATAAATTTATAATTATATTAAAAAAATATATATAAAATTTATTATGTAAATTTTTATCATATTAAATATATTTGTAGAATTATGTACCTCATATCTTCTTCTAATTTCTTCATTTTGTTGTCGAATTTTATTTATTTTTTCCTCAAGTGCATTAGATGCCATCTAAAATATACAAAATTTATATTGAAAAAAAATAAAAATTTTTAAATTCATTTTGAATTTAGAACGATATTATTTACGTTTAAAATCTAAAAATATGTAAATTATTTTTTCTTCAAATTTTTAAAAATGATAATCTTGAATATTTTAATTATATATTAGAAAGTATAATTATTTATACTATTTCACGAATATAAAATACAAATTTAAATTCACATAATAAAATATATATTTAAATTCATTTTCACTATTTAAAACTATTTAAACTATAAAACATTTTCACTACTAAAACTATTTAAGATCAGATATTAAATAAAATACAGTTCTTATAAATTTAATGGATCATATCAATCATAATAAGTTGAATATTTTTAACATCAAAGTATATATTCATATCACGTTTTTATCGTCCTGCTTCAAGAATTTTACTTCCGAATTCCTCCAAATAAATATAAAATATATAAATAATTTAATGTATATAGATTTATATTTTACAATTTATGTTTTTTCTCTGCATACATAAAAACATTTTATCAAAAATAGGAATTTCGTTAACGAAAAAAAATTAACCTTAATTAGCTTTAATTGCTATACACCCTATTAATCAAAATTATAAGAAAATTCAAATATTTCAGTTTAAAAACGAATTAAATTTTGTTTAATCATTAAAAAAATTGAATTTTTTTTTACAACTGAATCTATTTATATATAGATATTTATGTACATAATATTCATTAATTTATATAAATTAAACAATACAATAGAATAAAGAGTTTTTACAAAAGTTTGGCGTATTAAAATAATTTATATAAAACTAGGTTATATGAATGTACAATTGATTTCTTTGAAATATAAAAATGAAATAAGTTTAATATAAAATGTAATAATGATTAAAAAAAATAAACATAACGTACGGTTGCAAGTAGCTGCAAATAGTGTCAAGAGAAAAAAAATTAGAACATCACGAAGAAGAACGTTATGTTGCTTCAATTAAAAATCAGCCACATATGTCACTATTGAGCACTACCCTTATTTTTCCTAAGAAGGACACATTGACACTGCACAACATTCACAGATGCCTTAGTGTAATAAGAAAATTATTAATATGTAGTTCCAGTGGTTTTCATTATGATATATAAATTTTATTTTTTATAAAACATTTCATTAATAAATATATGATTTTTCTACAAAATTGATTAAATTTTTTCAAAATTATATCTTTGTTAATTAAATATAAAATGAGATCATTTTTAATTTATAATAAAATGAATATATTAAATGAAATATATAATTTAAACAATATTCAATTGCAATATAAAATACTTATTTTAACTATAAAAAATATAAAATATAAAAATAGTTTTATAAATCTTTATAAATTCATTAATTGTATACACTTTTTGAAAATTTCATAGAATATTAGATTAAGATGTGATATAATGATATTAATGATTTAAGTATTGAATGAATACCACTGTTACTGCCATGCGTAGACATGTCAACTCTTTTCATTACTGTTCTGCAATGATCAGAAATTCAATTTGTTTGTATTCTGATATAATAATTATTAGTCAATCTTGGAAAATCGTAAAATTATGAAAGACCGAAATTCTAAATTTTTTGCTTTTAATAAATGGTGTTATTATGAATATCATATTTATTATAAAGCATAACCTAATATATAAAATTTGTAAACATTGAAAATATACAGGTGGTTAACTTCCATAAGAAAATAGCCTCAATAAGAAAATATTTAGAGCATTCCTTTAAAAATGAAAATATCGAAATCTACTGTAATTCTTTTGGTCTTTGTATTAATGTTATCGATATTTGTAGCAAATGTTGCTGACTTGATCAATGTTGATAATCATATATTAGATGATACCTTGCATAACACAGACATGAAAAAAAAATGGTCACAACCAAAATTTTATGATATTGGAGCATCATTTGATCATTTAATATGGTTTTTACAAGTTTGTATTTATATATAACAAAAATATTTATTTATAAATTATATATAAACAATTTATTTTCTTTTAATTAATTTCTAAACATTTTTTTTTATTTGCATTTTTTCATGTTTTTAGATATCAGATATACACATAAGTATATTTCAAGATCCATTTAGAATAACAGAATTAAAAGAATTTTGTAATATTACTGTGGGTACCATAAAACCTTCTGTTGTGCTTGCTTCAGGTAATTTTTTTAAAATTAATTTTTTAATATTTATGATATAATAATAAAATAATTTAATAGGTGATCTCACGGATGCAAAAGCCAAAGATAAAATGGGATCAAAACAAATATTAGAAGAATGGCAATATTATAAACATATTTTAGATGATACTGAAGTTAGCAAAAAAACTTTATGGTTAGATGTAAGAGGAAATCATGGTAAGAAGTACATATCATTATTATTTATTAAAATACTAAATAATAATATATAATTTTTTTTATCTATATCTATATAAATTTTATCTATATAAATTTATAAAATGAAAATTTAAATTTATTATTTATATATAATGTATAAAATATATGTATTAAAATTAGCATTATATATTATATTATAATAATATTCATAACTAATTATTAATACAATATTATTTAAATTTATTTCAGATAATTTTAATGTACTAACTCTTGAATCAAAAAATAATTATTATTCAAATTATTCTATTCAAGGAAAGAAGCATCCTAGATCATATATGTATACTATAAATATTGATTCTAAACTATACACATTTATTGCAATAGATGCTTGCTTAAAACCTGGTCCACGAAGACCATTCAATTTTGTTGGCATGTTAGATGAGCATGAAATTAAAAGTATACATGGTTTAGTAAATAAATCCAAAAATAGTAATACGGATTTTATAATATGGTTTGGTCATTATCCTACATCCTGTATATTATCACAAACTAATATTAGAAATATTATAGGTAACAAAATATATATATATTTATTTATTTATTTATATTTAATATATTTATAACATAATTAATATTTATTTATAATATATTTTCAGGTAGACATAAAGAAAGTATGGTATATCTTTGTGGGCATTATCATACTCTTGGTGGCGCAGTGCCTAATATGTATACACTACAACAAGCAGGATTTCTTGAGTTAGAGTTAGCAGATTGGAAAGATAATAGAATGTAATATATATATATATTTTATTGTATTATATTGCAAGTAGAGGCATATATTTTTTTCATATTATTTTACATATTATTATAAGTAATTGTAATGTTGATTTAAAAAAATTAATATTACTGTGTTTATTCATTTTCAGGTATCGTTTAGGAGTAATAGATCATGGTCAATTTTCATTTATTGATATAAAACATAAGGAATGGCCTGTAGTATTAATCACTAATCCTAAACATGCTTTATATATGATGCCTAGAAAAGAAAATATAATGTCTGTTATTAAATCTACTCATATTAGGTAAATATTTTTTTATAATAAAATATATGTATTTAGGTTAATTAATGACTAATGTAAATATAACTATTTATTATTAAAAATTTTATAATATTTTTTATTTTTTATTCTGTAGGATATTGGCATTTTCGATAGCACTGATAAAAATTGTTGAAGTTCAGTTAGATGATAAACTTTGGTTTGAATGTGAACACATTAAAGGACCACTTTATGTTTTGAAATGGAACACAACAAACTACAGAGAGGGAATACATACTATTCGAGTTTAGTAAAATATATTTATTTATTTTTTAATGATATTTCATTTATTAAAATTTTAATAAATTTAACAATTTTAATGGTCGTAACCATATATAAATGATATTATTATTATATAACAATTTAGAGATTGAAAATTAATAACAAAAAAAATTATTATAGGTAAGAGTTACAGATATAGATGGAAGAGAAACAACAATATTTCAACCATTTGCTCTTGATGGATCACGTTTATCATTTCGCATTTTACCTAGACTTATACTTATGTCTAATGTCAGTAATATCGTACGTAATATAATATATATCATAAAATAGTTATATATTTATGTAAGTTTATATATTAATATGATTTTTTCTTCTATAGTTTCAATTTTTATTTGGAACAGTATTGGTTTTATTAGTAATTCCATTATGTATACTTCGTTTTCTTCATATATTATGTGAAAGTGAGTAAATTATATTTTATATAATATGTATAATATATATATTAAATATTATACAATTTATTATATTTTATATATAATTAACAAAAAACTAAAATATTATATAATTGAAATTTAAAAGAATAAAAAAAATTAATTTCAATTTATTAAATAACTAAATGTTAGGTTAGATTATTTCTATATAATAATTTAACATATAAATAAAGTTTTTAATATTAATTATAAATTGTAATTGAAGTATTTTTTAATTAGGAAAGCAGATACATCGACCAAGATTCAGAATAAAATTTTTTCATTCATGGCTTAGAAAATTGTGGATATTATCAACTGTTGACCGTCTATTTTTTCCATTAGTATTGTATGCATTATATTTAACAGTTGGTAAGAAAATAATATAATGATTGTAATTTTATTAAAAATTACATGATCAAGTAGATAAATAAATTCCTTAAAAAAATATTTATTATATTGCAAAATATATATTAATACATATAATTTCATTCCAATTTTCAAATGAAAAATACATTCAATTTGTAAAAAAAATTTTAAGGTCCATGGGCAGTTGGTGAAGTAATAGAAAATCAAACAGGTATAATTTTTGCTTGGGGAACATTTATTGGAAATTCTTTTTTGCCTGGTGCTTTTACTTATGCTTATGGATTTTTCCAATTATTTTCTTTCCATCTACCACTAATGTTAATCCTAGCTAATAGAGTAGATAAACGGTAAGATAAAAAATATAATTTTTTATTAAATATCTTAAATTACACTTATATTTGTTATTAAGTAAATAATATAATATATATAATATATATATATATATATATATATATATATAATAATTAAAAGTTAAATAATTTTACAGGCTACAAAATACTACTAAGCCAAATAATAAACCATTGTCTAAAATTTATTTTATTTTACAATATTTACCAATAATATTATTAATTATTATGCAAACATGTATGGCTTATTTCTTCTGGCTAGCATATGGAACATTAGCTACTATATTATGTCCCTTACGCACATGGAGTATTTTTTTAGCAATGATGTTATGGCATCAAGTAAATACTATGCCACATTCATGTTTAAGGTATGTATTATAATATAATTTTTAATTATAATCTAATATTTTATAAAATAAAAATTATTTTTTTTTTTTTTATTCTTGTATTATTTTATTTACTCTTTATATTATTTCTAGATGAAAATATTATAATTATATAATAATTTAACATATAAGTAAAATAATTTTCAAATATAGATAATTGATTAAAATAGATATACTCGCGATCACTTAATCAGAGTTAAATAAAAATCATAAAATTTCATGAAAGAAAAACGATATTCATGTAAAGAATGTTACTATATCATAAAATTAAATTTTATAAAATCTTA